CTCTTTGTTGCCGGTCGGCCATTTATACTCATTTTTGTCAAATGGCAATTTGAGTAGCCGACTACTGTTCATCTACTTTATGTAGATATTTTGTGAGCGCGGTGATAGCTGGCACCAACTCTGCTTTCCTCTATACAGTGTATGGAGGGATTTCCCATCTAAGCAAGCTGGTTTGGTAAGCTTTGAAGGGGGATTCTATAAGAGGCCCTTCTCTCCCTTGCTTGGGTTAGAGAATTTTGGAGAGAAAAACACAAAGAAGAAGCTCTGGTTTTAGGGTTAGGGTTCATACATATCTCCTATCTCCTCTTTTTCTCTCTTTGTGTTCTAGGTGTTTTAGTCCATACTATTGCACACAACAACCTAGTCTTTCACCTTCCTTGGCTACTGAGGTTCTAAGGGGCTGTTTTGGTGTTTTGGAGCTGGATCAGCCAAGGAGGGCTTGTTGGAGCACTCATTTGTGAAGGTGATCTACAAGGGTGAGAAACTTCCCTTTATTTCCCCATTTTTGCATTGCTTTTCTACCTATCTTAGAGCTGTTTTCGTGCTTATGTATAATACAAAAATTTCTATTTTTAGCCCTTTTGATTGTTTATTAAGAGTGTTTTGTTGTTTGGGTTTGTTTGACCCCTCCTAAGCCCTTGTAAGGCTCCTTTTTGTGCTATTTTTTGTCGCAAGTTTCGAGACTTTGGTGTTTGGGCCTCTTCACCACTGAAATCTTGGCGGCAGATGGTGCCTTGAAGTCTCCAAAAGGGGAGGGCCATCCCTCTCCTTGTTGTGCCTTGAAGGGCCCTTTTTTGGCCTCTTGGGGAGCATCATGTTAGAGTGTGTATTGATCATGTCTTGGCTGCTTTTCATGCTTATTATGCCATGATATAACTTGTTGTGTGTTGGTTTTGGTACACCATGCATACCTAGCATACCTACCATGTAATGCCTTGTTATTGCCTTAATATGCCTTAGGTTGTTAGCCTTTGCTCTAGTATGTTTTAGGTTTAGCCTTGTGAAGGTTTTGTGCTCATTTTGCCATGTTTAGGTCTGTCCATAGTTGTTTGGTTGATCTTGGCATGCGTAGATAGCTCCTTTGTATTTGAGCTTGTATGCTTCAAGTATTGAATGTGTAGTATGTGTTGCTATCATCATTTCGGTGTTTGGAACCACCCTACATATTATTTCAGTCCTTTTGACATGCTCATATGTTTGCTTGGATGCCTCTTTGAAGCTTTGGAAGCTTGCCTGCATGCTCCATGTTTTAGCATTTATGCATGCTTTAAATTCAAACCATCTAGATGCTATCTAGTTGGTCTTTTGGGCTTAGTTTCATGTGTTTAAAACTCTGTTTTTGGTTGCCTAAGTCCTGCCATGTGTGTTGTACTAAGTGTAGTCCATTGCCTCTTTGGTGAGCCTTGAAGGCTTGACCATTGTTGCATGTTTAACTTGCCTTGTTGCTTGGTTTGGCACATATTTTTAACAATGATTTTCAGAGCTTATGTTGCATGCTAATATGTCCATGATATCCTTTTCCAAGTGTGCCTTAGAGTTTGCTTATTTAATGCCTAAGTGTTGGTCCCAACTTACTTGCATGTGTGTATGTATGTTTGATCCAATTCTTGGTTTTTGGGCCACTGTTTTAGGCCTATTAAGAGTTGCCTAAATATGTCTAAAGTCCACCTTTTCAATTCAAGTTGCATTGCCTCATGGTTTGCTTGCATGCTTGCATAAGTGTTCTCGCCATGCCATGTTGCATCCTTAGCTTGCATGCCTAGGTTGCATTGCATCTTGCATGCATGCCTTGTTCCTTGACTTGGTGATAGGAATTGGGCCTTGGTTCGTTTGTTTGGTTTGCTTTCATTTGACATGAAGATGCAGCACTGATTCTTTGGGCATCGATGCTGGGAAATGCGTGATTGGGCGGTCGAAGAATCGAGAACACATGGCCCTTTTTGAGTCAGAAACATGATAGGGGACCATGATTGGTGGCATGACATTGCTTGAATTGTATTGCCATGCAAGTTTTCTGTCCTCTGCTGCTGTGAGTTGCAGGTTCGGCAGGGCATTCTTTGCGACGCAGTAAATTACATTGCCGACGAGTATCACATTGCCGACCGGCAGTAAATAACCAGCCGATGCTTCATTTTGTGCCGGTGACCACATTCGCTGGCCGGTGGTAATTTACCTCAGCGGTGGTGATTCCCAGTATCCAGGAGAAGCATCCTTGAGACTTTGGCAGTCCTTCAGAGAAGGCGGGCAGGGAAAACAGAGGCGACTATGCATGGTCGTGCACTTCCGAGCAGGATCCGAGCAATGCGCTGCACTGGCTCCTCCCGAGGCGGTTTACTGCTTTTCCTATTTAAAATTAGTTTGTTACTGATACGGCAATTTGTAATATTAATTAGCTTGCGTAGTTATTAATTGTATTATTTATTTGGTCCCTCGGGCGAGGGGATTGTAATAGTGTGTGTGAGTGGTGTGTTGTTTCAATCCCCACTTCTTTCTTCCCTTTTATTTAGCCCTGCTTTGATGGTAGATTAGGGCATGTTTTTAATTAGCATACCTTGTGCTATGCATTGCGTGCATCCATACATTTTCCCGATGCACGGTCTCGGTTCAGTCATTCTAACTGGATTTGTATTTCAATTCAAATTGAATACGTGCCATTAAATTGGTTGCATTTTCACATGCATGTTTAGGTTAGCCGAGCCTACTCTAATTGCATCTTGCATGTGTTGCATTAGTCAACTTGACTGACTAAGGATCACGCATGTTTGCTACTGTTTATTGTTTTGGCAGGAGTACGCTGTAAGTATTTATGCTTTAGCCATCTTTGCATGCGTGTGAATGTTAACATGATAGCATGCTTACCATGTGTAGATGCTTATGTGTTATATTGTTCGATGTGTAGATTCTGAAGTATTTTTATCTCCCTTTTTAATCTGCACAAGTAAGAGTCACAGTATAAAAACAATAAAAATGAATGCACCATAAACTCTAACCATTTATAAAAATAAAAAATAAAAAAATAAAAAAAACTAAATAAGATAAAATAAAATACAAAAAACTTTAACCATTTGCACCACAAAACTATTATGAAAAATGGTAACATTTTCTGGCATGAACACTATTTGCACCACAAAACATCACAAGTGTCAGAAAGTCACTTCTAGTAAACAAGAGGCACTCCAGATTCCTCCTTGGGCAAACATCATCCAATTCAAATCAAGTTTATGAGGGGAAGAAAATGCTAGGTCAAATTTCTCTTAACAGAGGCAGCTCCAAGGATTTGTTAAAAAAGACTAAGGAGGCAGTAAGGCACCTACTGAAAATATTGCATGGTGGAGGTATTTCATTCTTCCAAGAATCAAATAACGAGGGCAGCCGTGAACAAAGTTAACATCCTAAATACTAGAGTGCAAAGAAGGGGCAGGACAGCTAGTTAGTAAAAGAGATCTATAGAATCTTGTTCTCCAATATATTGGAAACTCAATAGTAGTTTTTCAATAAATAGTCACCATTGCATAATCAATCACATAAAATATTGCATCCGTGTCAACAAAAACTAATGATTGGTAGCCACCAAGGAAGCACGGGTGCGGGTACGAGTACGGTACGGGTACGAGTGCGGGTACGCCGATCGGCAAAACTCGAAAAAAGTACGATACGGGTACGGCACGGTACGCCGATTTTTTTTATTTTTTTTTAAATATAATTTTGATTAAAGGATTCAACCTACAAATTAAAATAAAATATCAAAACTAAAAAAGAACTACTCATTTTCCTATAATTTAAAACCATTAAGTTGTTAAAAATAATATTTGTGAAATCTCTCACTTTGATATGTTATGCACTGTGAATTTGTGATCATAATTTATTTTTAAAATCTTTCTTTTGCTCATCAATTTGCTATTTTTATAGGGTGAGACCAAAGAAATAACAGAGAGACCAAAGAAAGATTTAAAAGTTAATTACCAACCAATAAAGGAAAAAAAATTCTCAATTGGTGCAAGTTGTCAATTGCAATTTGCATAATACATAAAATTGCATCATTCCCAACAACTACTAATCAACTAATACAGTATCAATTTTAATGTTTTGTGCATAAACTTTAAAAATTTGTTATGATTAAAGATTTTATAAAGAAATTCTAGGAGGATCTAAAGCAAAAGCATAATGCATAGTCATACAAGAACTACCCTTTATAGGCCTTGTTATTTTTTTTTGTTCAAATTGCTTTTAAAAAACATTAAAATCATTTGTTGATATGCTTCTACAATTTATACAGACAAAACAGGACAACAGAGAAACATCAAAATTACTGATCTGCAAGGGCACCAAAAAAAAAAAAATAATAATAATAATTGCTAATTTGCAAGGGCAGAAAAAAAAAAATAAAAAAAAAAAAAAAAAAATTGGCCTTGGCGTACCCACGCCGTACCCATGGCGTACCCATGCCGTACCCGTGGCGTACCCAGCCGTACCCGAATAAGCCAAACGTACCGGACCCTCTTTTGCCGTACCCGCGTACGCGTACCGCCGTACCGGTACGCGTACCCGCACCGGTAAGTACCCGGTTACTCGTACGGCACTATTTTTGGAGTACCCGTGGCTTCATAGGTAGCCACAAACGTCAAAATTAGCTTAGATGACAATTTTAAAGCTTTAAACAGAGGAAGTTTATCTAAACAGTATTCAGGAATTTTACATGTAACAGGATAAATAGCAGACATACAATATAGGCACTGTGAATACAAATATGTGGAATAACAGAACCACACTGAAAGGAACTGCAATGCAGTTTGGACTGCTTATATAACAGAGATATATATAGGCCAAAACATAGACCCCAATAAATCAGGGCATGGGAGGTAATATATCAAGATACTCAACTCAACTCAACTCAAACTATAAGAAGGTATGGGTAGTGAACACAAAATCACATGAAGAATTAAGATACAATGCATAAATATTAAGAATATCGTGTACAGGGGGGAGAATGTATAAATCACCTTCTTCTTCTTGACGGGTTTAAGGATCTTGATGATGCATTTTTCATTGTTGGTGACATTTATACCTTCAAAGACCTCACTTATTTTCCCCTCCCAACTTTTCGGACAACCTCGTAGTCATCTTGATCGCTGAGTATAAACCAAAAAAAAAATGCATATATTTAAAAATTGCGCCAAAAAATAAAAGAAGAAGAAAATTTCACAAAAGACTGAGTTAGAAAGCAGATCTCTCTTAGTAGAGAAAAATATCAGATACCATATAGATCCAAGAGGCAAAATACCAAGATCCCTGTAAGACATTAGCTAACAACTCTCCTCAATTATATCAACCCCAATCCTAAACCCCAAATTTTCTTCAATTAGGCAACCTTAATACCCTTCTTAAATTGCGATTTCCACTTCAAATCATCACTTCGCAGAATGCCACAAAAGATATTACATAAATAAACATAACACTCAAATAAATTGTATTTTAAATCTTTGATCATCAACTTACATTGAAACTTTAACAGGGTTTTTTTTTTCCCCCTTCTAAATTGTTCCAAAACCCATTGACTGAATTAGACTCTCCTACTCAACAGTTCTTGCCTATTATTAGCTTGACTAGCACCATCAGCACACTTTCGCTATCGATAATACCTAGAACCACTAATTCACCCCCAAAATAAAACTAACAACATAATAAATCTAACAAAAAATACAACACAAATGAAAGCACAAACTCTACATCTAAATCTATCAAATTTGAAAGAAGAGAATTCAGTGGCAAGTCTTAAAATAAGAAATTTGTGCAGCATAGAAAATCAAAAAGAAGCGGAAGGAATTAGGGTTTTTTTTTTTTGAATTTACCCCCATTGAACGGTGAGAGACTCGTAATCCCAGTAATCTCGAGGGCGGTGAACATTGACGTCTGCGTAGACTCGAGCTTGTGACATTGCTCCAGCGAAGAGAAGCTACAATGCCGAAGAAGAGAAGATCAAGATTCGCCTGATTTATATGTTGTTGTCAATCGACGGTGGTAACGAGTCGCTTTGTGGACCTCTTTCTTTTGTTTGAGAGTATATAGGGCGTGGTAATCACAGCTTGGGCTTCTATTAATGTACATAAATGACTGCGGCCCAAATAAACCTCCCTGGACTAGGCCTTGGAACTCCACAATGACGTACGTGTTAACTTAGGATTTTTCGGAAATCGCTTTTTTGATTTTTCATAAAAATAGAGAAAATGATTTTATAATTTGTAGTAATTTTTTTTTGCTAAAAATTTAAATTTCCAAACAAAGCCATAATGAAATTGACCATAAATAAAATAAATAAACAAGAAGGCACTCAAGATGCGAAGAGAAAGGGAATATAGAAAGTGATTAAATTGGTGTAGAAAATAGGAATAAAATTATACACACTGATTGGTATATTAATTACTGTACTAATGGATGATGCGGTATAATTTTAGAAATTATAAGTTTTGTAGTTTGTATAATAAGTAGAATCTATAATTTTGAAATGATAGTATTCATAATATATATTGGTATACTAATTGATATATCAATTAGTACATGTAACACGACTAAGAACAAATATTAATAGCGTTAAACAAGATGCCTACACCCAATACTGCTAGTTCAGACACTCAATTATCAAAATAAAATAAAATACTTCTTGAGCTTAATTTACAGTAGTAGCCTAGTTAGTGTTGTTGTTATTGAAATTAAAATAAATACTCATTTTTTAATATGAAAATGTTTTATATGTACCAATTTAAGTGTTAAATCTTATCCAATTTGTTTGATATGTATTAAAAGTTGAAATTTAAGAAAGCCCCCCACACTACAACAAAAAGAGGCAAAAAACACGAAAGCATTTGCGACGGCGCGTTTCCCGTCGCAAAAATGGTCTTTTGTGACGGCAAAATTAACCATCGCAAAAAATAGCTTTAGCGACGGCGTTTAACCGTCGGTAATAAAACTGCACGGGCAGGTATTAAAATGGGAAGTATTAGCGACAGCGTGTTGTAGACACGCTCGTGGGCCTCGCTACAGTTCGGACTCGATTTGTGTCACGGTTCTCATTCTGAACCAAAGAGTCCAAATCGGTAAATCGTTTTGAGAAAACAGATTTTTTTGAAAGAAGTGTCAAACATGGACCTTTGCCAGATACAGAGTCGCCACCTAAATATTTTTTGTGGGGGAATTTAGGAAACCCTGACTCGGTGCCGAAGGCCACATGTCCGTCATCACCGGAGTTGTCTCAGCTCGGGAGCTAGGGTACGATTGGGGAAGGTCAGCTATGAGCACCCCTCTCGCCCGATCCGAAGATCGGCCTCTACTAACCGTGATATCCGTTTTTGAAAACGTTATGTGTTCGTATTCCATTATTAGCCTAGAATTACTATATTATGCGCACAGCACAAGTATAAACTAGATTGCCTGATTTGGAAATAAGCATTGCATATCCGTTTGTCTTAAAAAAAGTACTTTGGAATTTGCTACTCGCAAGTAGGCTAAAATCGGATTTCAACAGTTTTTCCAACTCAAACAATCCAACCTTCACCCACAGGCAT